TGAGACGGTAGTGGATAACTCTCCTTCAGCGGAGGTCCGATCATTGCTCGAGGAGTTTTTTGATGTCTTCCCAGAGGACTGTGTAGTGCCCTGTCACCATTGCGTGATATTCAACATCTTATTAGTTTGGTGACGGGCGCTTCTCTCCCTAACTGACTACTTTATTGCACGAGTCCGGCTGAATATGAGGAACTGTGTCAGCAAGTGGACGAAATATTTCGGCATGGCATGGTCCATCAAACCTTAAGCTCGTGTGCAGTCCCCGCGCTCGTTATTCCAAATAAGGACAATCTGTAGCGTACATGTATGGACAACCGTGTCGTTAATAATATTACAGTGCGGTATAGTAATTCTATACCTCAGTTGGATGATTTTCTGGACCTACACGGGGAATCAATCTTTACTAAACTAGATCTCAGTAGTGGCTACCATCAGATTCGTATTCGCTCGAGAAATGAGTGGAAGACGACATTCAAAATTAGCAAAGGACTTTTTGAGTGGTCAGTGATGCCCTTTGGTTAATTTATCCAACGTGCATAGCACCTTTATGCGCGTCATGAACCAGATGCTTCGCGACCTTATTTGTAAGTGCATTGACGTTTATTTCGATGACATTCTTATTAGTAGCCAGTCGATTGATGAGCATTTACTACACGTCTGCTTGGTGCTTCTGATTTTGCGAGCAAAGCAGCTCTATGCGACTACAAAGAAATGTTTCTTTTTTGTCAATTTGGTGTTGTTTATGGGTTACCAAATTTTGGCGGAGGGGATCCGTGTGGTCGAGAGTAAGGTGGCGACGATTTGGGATTGGCCGACACCACCCTCGATTACATAAGATCGTAGCTTTTATGGCCTAACTTTATTTTATCGATGCTTTATTTCCCACTGCAGCCCTATTATGACGCCTATTACGAATTGTATGGGTGGCAAGTCAGGAAGCTACTGGCCGCTGAAACTTTCGCTCTCATCAAGCGTAAGCTTACTTCAGCTCCACTGTTGCTCCTGTCTGACTTTACGCTACCATTTGAATTCTCATGTGATGCTTCTAAGGTGGACATTGATGATGTGTTGAACTAGAATTCGCATCCCGTGGCTTTATTCAGTGAGAAGTCGATGGCCCACGGTACCGTTACATCACATATGATGTGGAGTTCTATGCCGTTGTGCAAGTCACCCGTTATACACATCACTATTTGTTTCACAAGGCGTTTGTGTTGTACACGAAATATGACGCGTTTTTCCACCTCGCCTCCCAGGACAATATCTCTACTCGTCATGCTTCGTGGACTTTTTATTTGTAGCAGTTTACATTTGTCCTCAAACATCAATCGAGTGCATCTAATTGAGTTGTTGATCTGTTGAGTCGTCGCTCCATTGTTTTGACGGACTTACGAATGATTTTTACAAGAAGTTTGTGTTGTACACGGAACATGACGCGTTTTTCCACCTCGCCTCCCAGGACAATATCTCTACTCGCCATGCTTTGCAGACTTTTTATTTGCAACATTTTACATTTGTCCTCAAACATCAATCGGGTGCATCTAATCAAGTGGATGATGCGTTGAGTCGTTGCTCCCTTGTTTTGACGAACTTACGAATGATGTTTACAGTCGTCGCTCCCTTGTTTATACTTATTATTCACATATATTTTTAATATACGATTAAATTTTTAGCAAAGTAATTATTTTATGGAATCATATTGTATTCAAATCGAATTTTTGAATAAAAATATTAAAATGACACTTATTGTGAAATGAATATAATGTAATTTATTATCAGTTACGTGCTCAGTACAGTTCTACTAAATTTAAGTAAACATGTTTTATGTAATTTTCCACAATTTAATGTGATTTGATAAAGAGCAAGTTGTTTGTCCCATTTTTGTGCCGTTTTAGGTCATTATTTTACCGTTCTTTTTCCCCCATATTGAGTCGTTTAGGTAGTTTTAGGATCTTTTTGTCGTTTATTTTATGTT